GTTCTCCCTCCCCGTGGGCGGAGTGGGCCCTGGTTGGTCGTGGCCTCTCTGGGAGTGGCTGCCTGGACTACCTTGGAGGATGGAGGAGCCTACCCAGGACAGAATTAGACCAGTGTCCTTGAGAAAGAAAGAAAAGTCACATCCCTAAGGGACAGTTAAGCCAATGCGTGTACACAGGGGCCAGAACCTAGTGGGTGTTAGAATGTTTGTTGAATGAAGGGGTAAATGGAGGCCGCTTATCATCTATCTACCTCTCCCAGACTCCGCCCCTTGCTTTACACAAGTCTTGGTAAGGTTTTCTTCCCAGCCCCTCCGTACTGGTCTCTGTGTGCATTGAAAGAGCTCAAAGTGAGTGACCCACATTTGTCTCTGTCCTCCTTTTTTTTTTGATTTCCAGTGAGGCCTCCCTTCAACGTTAGGCTAAAATTTAAGTATGACATTACTCATGTTTACTGATGGTATAACTTTAGAGACCAGCGTTTGTGCTGTGCCCCCGGAACTGTAGATTAGAGCTTTAAAAATGGAATTAAACGTTTGCCATATGGACAGGGATTTCTTTTTGTAAAGCACATTGTCCAACAGAAAATGCCAGCCCTTCGACTTTGAACATTGAAAGGCCTGAGTCTGTTGGGTTGTCGAGCAGAGTTGGTCTCCAAATCTATGAGCAACGTCGTCTGGAATTTATTATTCCGTGCAGTTAACTAGAAGTCCAGCTGAAGCTTGGGGTTCAGCTGAAAAAACTTAGATTTGATGAAGCAATTCCTTTTAGCCAAATTATGTTGCTTTGATTAACTGAATAAAGAGTTGGATCTGCAATCATCACATCAAAAGGCTTGCAAAGCGCAGAGAAACCTCTACTCAAGAGTTCTGTATGCAGTTCTAGGTTTAAATAATCCTTAAAATTCCTTCATTTTGGAATAGCTCATTTAGCTGTGATTAGGGCAGCAAAATGCCAATGTATTATTGAATTAGAACAATTTTTATATAGATTTACATTTCTCATTTTTTTTAGTCAGAAACATTGCTGCCTGAATTGATTTTGAAAAAATCATGTTTAATTGATGTTAAAGATGCAAGATTTATAGTCCCAGGAAATCCTTCTGAAGGCATCAAACCTACTTGCTAACACAGTGAAAATATCTAGATTTGGCTTTCTTCTTTTTTCTTTTCTTTTTCATGCTCTTTCTAATGAACTAAGGAACCAGAGTTCAGTTGTTCACTGATCTCAGTTGACTAATTTGTCTGCAAAATTAACTAAGCAAAACCTAATTTTCAGGGCTGCTGTATCCATTAGCTGTGTAGACTCATTGTCTGCCCCTTCTAGCATTTCACAGACCACTAGAAAATGTTTTGGCCCTAAAACAAATTATTGGCCCAAAAAGGAAAAAAGAAATTAGGAAAATTGAGAAAACGTTGTATAAATATCTAGTCACCTGCAATTCGACTCAACTCAATTTTCAGACCTACATTTAAATTATATTTAATGTATAGTATGAGTACTACCCTTAATAGGACCTGATATAACGTAGGGTGAACCCTCTAAAAATCACTGGTGCCAGTGACGGTTTTTAAATGGCCCAGCTAAATTTGTAATGAAAGCCTTCCCAACCAAGCCACAATACATGTTTGTTTTCAGTCAGTTGGAGGAGCTTTTGGTTAACTTTATTTTAAATGGGTCCAGAGCCAAAAAGAAAAATGAAATTCCCTTTCAAAAAGAAACTATAAATTCTAAATCTCACATTCCCAATTACAAGTCAAATATAATTATACTTTGATAAAAGTAACTTGGAAAAGACAGTTTTACCCAGGATGAAATTCAGTAAATGGGAAAGTGTTTATAAATTTCAACTGAAAATTCAGACTACTTGTTCAGAAATCAACTTCTCCTTTAATGCCTCAGTATTTCATTATAATAAGCTAACAGCTTTAGAGTTAATTTTTTTCCCAGATAGCATATTAAGAACAAACAAAAAGCAATAATCGTTTTGTGGTTATAAAGTAATAAGTCCTCCACAATGAAAAGGGAATTTAACTCAGAGTTCTGAGTTACCCAACTGGCATTTTATTATAAGGAAAGCCATCTCCTGACATTTTGGAGCCTCAGGCTTGAAGTGAACCTTGTCATTTGCAGAATTGCTGTTGTTTTTTCCTTACCTTTTCAAGCAACAGGGTCAGGTTTAATGTGAATTATCCCAGTGGGATTGTACTGTGGACCCCTCCCCAAAAAAAGAGTAACCCAAAGCTCTCAAAAAGGAATATATTCTATTTGGGAGGCTAAGGCAGTAGGATTGCAAGTGCAAGGCCTGGGCAGTTTAGTGAGATCCGATATCAGAGAGAGAGAGAGAGAGAGAGAGAGAGAGAGAGAGAGTCACAAAGAAAAAAGAGAAAGGAGGCGGGAAGAGAGAGAGATCTGGGTGCGTAGCTCAGTGGTAGAGTGCACCTGGGTTCAATCCCTAGTACAGGAAATAAAAAAAGGAATATGTTGATACTATCAGCCAGCTATTTGTGAGCTCTGAAAGTCCACTAGAGAATGTCATCAAAAAAGTTTTTGTTATTTACTCCAAATTGTACTTGCTGATAACTTGATTTTTCTACAAATGAAAAATGGACTCCATTTGAAAACTGTACTAGAGTAAGGATTCACTTGTGGGCTCCTGAATTCAGTGGTTGGCTTGTCAAAAACAGTGCTAAAATAAATTTTTTATGCGGTATTAGTGGTATGATGACAACAAAATTGATTTCTGGGCAACTCTGATAAATTGTTAGAAAAGTTGTGGAAGAGAATAGGGAAGGGAAAATGCTACCTTCTTTAGGTAACTTTATTTAATGTCTTTATTATTTACTTAATCTGAACTTCATCTTGTTGCAATTATTGAAGACTTATTTTGTCCTGGTCTGGTTAAGAGCGACAATCTATTATACCTCACAGGGTCACTTGCTCACATGTAAATGATGGTAGATAAAGGACAGGGGACTGAATACTTTAATCTCTACTCAAAGTCCCTGCCACTAACACTTGATACCTCTTTAGTAGGAGAAAGGTAAGGATAAACCTACCACCAATAAGGATACTAACTTGCCCATCAATTGGAAACTGGATAAAGAAGATGTGGTTCTTCTATAAAATGGAATACTACTCAGCCATAAAGAATGAGAAATTAGAGTCATTCATAGGAAAATGGATACATTTTGAGGATATACTCCTAAGTGAAATAAATAAGTCACACATGTGTAAATACCAAATAGTTTCTCTTTTATGAAAAACTATAATATTACACAAGATTCTAATGAGATAATTAACAATGTAAAATAGGAAGAAAGGGGCTAAAGTTGTAGGGAAAGTGGGAAGGGTAGGGCAAAGGGAATAAGGGAAAAGAAAAAAATAGGAGAAAATAAAAAATGGAAATAAAGTGTTTGTAAATGGGGAAGGGAAGAGGGGGTGAAGGGAGGGCAGGGACAAGGGGAAAAAATGAGAACCAAGACCTGTCATGTAAAGGTACAAGATCCCAGTAATGAATGTAACTGTACTGTATACCTAGAATGTACCAATAAACTCAAAAGAGGAAAAAAAAAAAGGATCCTAACTTACCTATACCTAGACTTTACTTGACCTAAGAAATTGTACGTAATGAAATTTACATACTTATTCATTCTCTAATGAACATTTATTTGTTGTGTTTATGTTTTGTGCCAGCCTTTGTTATACTTTGATATCTAAGAGGCAGTGTCTGCTCTGGTGGGACCTAGAGTCTAGTGGAGAAAAGACATTAAACACATTCTTACAGAAGTAAATATAGAGCTATAAACTGTAATAAATGCTGTCAAGAAAATGTACATGGCCATACAAATGACTAGTGAAGGCACCCAAGATTTAAAAAAAAAAAAAAAGTAAGGCTGTCTACGAAAGTAACAGGTAAGCTGAGAACTAACAAATTGTTGCCTTATCTATAAAAAAGGGAGGGATTGAGCTGGGGATGTGGCTCAGTGGTAGAGTGCTTTTCTAGCATGGGCAAGGCCCTGAGTTCAATCCCCAGTACCACCAAAGAAAAAGTAGGGATTGTTTTTAGGATGAAAATCCACTTTCTATTTATATGAACTTGACTCCGTTTTATATATAAATAAGAAATCTTCATTACAAACTATTAAAACTTGTTCAATATTTTAGAAAATTGCATCCCCAATAACAATACTGTTCATTTTTTGTAATTCATAGGGACGTTAACAGTTTTAGCCCACATTTTGTATGTGTAATATATTTTAAAATGTCAATCACATATAATTGAAATATGAAATTGGATTTCTGATTTCTATAACAAGTGAAC